GGACGAGGGGGAATGGTTTGAAGTTGAGCCAGGGCAGGTTTAGGCTAGACATTAGGAAAAATTTCTTCACCAAAAGGGTTGTCAGGCTCTGGAATGGGCTGCCCAGGGAGGTGGTCGAGTCCTCATCCCTGGAGGTATTTAAAAGAAGGTGCTTAGGGACATGGTTTAGTGGTGGGATGGCAGGGTTAGGTTAAAGGTTGGACTCGATGATCTCAAAGGTCTTTTCCAACCAAAGTGATTCTATGATTCTATGACCACAGAGATGAAAGAGCCAGATGAGCTACAGACAAGTGTTTATACTGCTAAACTTCACTTTGATTTCTCTGAGTTAACTTGGACCTTCCTTGAGTTTGCCCAAGGAGTCACCTCCACTTACAGTGTAATGGCAGCCAGCATAGTCACACTGCATGAGTTTTATAAGGTTTGGGAAATAACTCTTCCTTTTCCAGGTGACCTGAACCCACCCCTCATAAGGAGAAAGTGGCTGCTTTTAGTTATGAGGTTTTTTCCATCATGGAGGTCCATGGAGCTTCTTCTGCCCACTCTGCTGCAGGCACAGCCATGGACCTAAGCAGCCACAGGTGTGACCAGTTTGCACCTTCTACACTCCCAGTATGGTGGAGAAGGCATCAAGCAATGATAATACTCCCTGCCCAGCATCAGAGCCTTGACTCACAATACCCATGATTTTTAATGTTGTAGAGGAGAAAAGAAACCTAAAATCACTGCTAGAAAAATGGCAAAAAGAACATTTATACTTGCTAGTCCTTCCTTGGCAGAAAAAGTAAAAAAAAAAGTAGCTGCAAATAGAATTGGTTCCAGATCTCCTTCTTGTCCCTTCGCTAGACCTGAGAAACAACAAAGGAATCCCACAAACAGCCGAGGGTGACCAAGAAGACAACAGGCCGGGTTTCTGTTTGGTTTTCTTCAGATTTTGAACAAGGGCAACAGAAACCACTGGTTCCCAGGTTAAATTGCCTTGGCTCACAAACTGATTGTTTGGAGAGGCTCCTGTGAGGGAAATGTGAATATAAACCAAACCACCCTGGCTGGCCCGTGCTGCTCGGCCAGGGTCTCCTCTGGGAGGTCATAAGAGCCTTCAACTTCACTTCAACAGAAGAGGGACTGTAGCACAAATTGTCTCCTACTATTGACCAATTTGGCTCATGTTAAGCTATGTTTAGTTTTATAATGCTGTCTTTTCCTCGCTCTCTTGTTACGCAAGTGGGGCAATCACAGCAATAAAGTTACTGTCATCAGTGCAGTTTATTAGCTCTGAAAGTGTTAGTGACACCAGTCTGCCCCATGGTGGGACAGCCACGCTGGAGAAATGAATGCTTGATAGATGCTAGCATCTTCCAGAGAGGAACCCCTCAGCCTGGGTCACTGCAGGTGTCCGTGCAAGGCAGCGGCGGCATCTTTTGGATGTTGATTTCCAGGAAGATAAAGTGTTATTTCTGTTGCGCTTCAAAAACATGTGTGTCCTGGTTTCAGCTGGGATAGAGTTAATTTTCTTCCCAGTAGCTGGTATAGTGCTGTGTTTTGGATTTAGTACTAGAAGAATGTTCATAACACATTGATGTTTTGGTTGTTGCTGGACAGTGCTTAGACTGGCCAAGGACTTCTCAGCTCTCAGCTCTGCCAGGTGCACAAGAAGCTGGGAGGGGGCACAGCCAGGACAGCTGACCCAAACTGACCAAAGGGCTATTCCATGCCATATGACTCAGCATATAAAGCTGGGGAAGAAGGAAGGGGGGATGTTTGGAATGATGGCATTTGTCTTCCCAAGTCACCATTACACATGATGGAGCCCTGCTTTCCTGGAGATGGCCGAGCACCTGCCTGCCCATGGGAAGTGGTGAATGAATACCTTGCTTTGCTTTGCTTGCATGCGCTGCTTTTGCTTTCCCTATTAAACTGTCTTTATCTCAACCCACAAGTTTTCTCACTTTTACTCCTCTGATTCTCTCCCCCATCCCATTGTGGGGGGAGTGAGCAAGCAGCTGCGTGGTGCTGATTGCCAGCCAGGGTTAAACCACGACAGTGTGTTTCTTCAGTGCTTTGGTGGGCTGTGAAAGGAATCACACGCATCATCCGACAGTTTTCTTGCAGCACCAGCAAGCATTGCCTGGGACAGGGTGGATACTCAGGTCTTGGCATCCCCTCTCGTGGCTGGAGCTGAAGGGAAATGGGGGGGGGGCTCTGCTGCTGCCTGAGACATGCCAAGGCAGTCTCCACCCTTCCCCAGCACCAACCCGTTTCCTAGACATGTATAAGTCATCTGCCCCCCAGCGATCCTGAGCCACAAACCACCAAGTAAACCAGACCACTTTCCAGAGAAAGTGATTGACGTCCTCTGAAGAGAGCTAGGGATTCAACAGAACGGTTTTGAAAGTCCCTTGCAGATGAAACTTACTGAGATTTTATTGCAGGCAAGGGGACGGTGGACAAGAGACTTCTGTCAGATTGTATTTGAAGGTTTGTTCCAGGAATAGAGCCACACACATAATTTGTAATAATTATCATTATTTTATTTTTAATTATATCCAGGTCCCTGGAATTTCTGTCTGCTTTCTGACAGCTCGGTGTCTTTATTTAGCCTCCTACCAGTCCTGTCCCAAACAGAAGAGCTGTAATTTTCTGTGTTTCTATGAAATGAGGTTAAGTCATGCAGGCAGGTCACACAAATCTAGAGCAAAATAGGAAACACAACTGGATCTTGATTCCTCTCTTGACCATCAGAAAATCCAAACTGAAACTTGCAATTTCAGAAACAGGCTCAGTTTCACAGTCCTTATGCATTATATGTGCTTTCAGTGTTCGGGAGACCCAGATGTTTTACACCAGCCTCTGCCATCAGTTACTATGGCACAAACCTGTGTTAACTTCACTAGTTGCACTTAAGTTACTCAATTAAGTGTTCTTTGCATTTTCACTAAGATACTAAAAGCCCTTGCACCTGCTTGCAGAATTTAGCTGAAAAATGTAGCTTAAAATTAACTAACAAGCTCCACAGTGGGAAAGAACTGTGTCCACTTCAATAGCATGCTGACACGTGGTTCCCAGAAGCCCAGGTGTTTTGGGGTAGAAAGACCCTCTGGAGGTCACCAAGTCCAACCTCCTTCCTCCTCAAAAAGGGGCTGTTGGCCAGCACCAGTTGAGATCAACCAGAGTTACGTCATTTATAGTTATTTTGCACACAGACATTCTACATCCCTGTAGAACAGCAGACTTTTCACTGATTTCACTGACTTTTGTGTCTATCTGGTCTGGGGTGAGGGCAAATATAAACCCCATTTAATATGTGTAAATGGGATATATTGTGGGAGTTGTATGTTGATTCTTTGCAGCTCATATTACTGGAGAATCTCAGGGCAGTAATGAAGGTTGTGGAAATGTTGCCCCTAAAGTGTGCCATGAGCTGAAGGGAGTGAGTGGAGAAATGCTGATTCCATAGCAGCTCATGTGGACTTTGAAGGACGAGTGACGAAAACGGGCATTTATGTTACAGAGGGAGCTCAGAGAGATCTCAGAAAAAGAGGGCTGGAAAGGGGCGCAAAGAAAAAGTATCTGTAGAAATCTGTCTCCCCGATGGCTGTGTGGGGAGCTTCAGCTCTTAACTTGGTGTGCTCTGAATTGCACCTCGGGAGGACACCTCGCAGCTTGAACGAGGTGGGTGGGAGTAACCTGCCCAGTGTATCCCCCTCTCTCTGGGAGGGATCAAGTGCCTTTGAAAGGTGAAGGGACAAGCCATCTGGGTGGTCCTTGCCTTTCACTTGGAGTATAAGCCTGCTTACAGCTCAGATCACAGCCCCTCTGCACGTCGCCAGCTGACTGGAGATCCCGAGGTGTAAACAAACAGCACATCGCCAACCCAAAACAGGCACTTAGTAAACCAGAAAACACCGCTTTTATCTCACAGGGCCACATTTATTCTTCTTAATCTAATTATTTTTCATAAATGAAGTGAGCTAAAAAAATTAGTTTCGTAATCCTTTATTGGTCTGTAAGATTTACATCAAGGTTTAGCAGAGCAGAGACAAATGCTAATGCTGCCGTCTCTCTTTGCCATTGAAAAAGTGCAAAATACAGCTGGAAAAGAGAACAGCTAGGCCAAACTCTTTTGCTAACAAGAGAAAACCTTGCAGAGGTGGAAACAGCCTTAGGAACAACATACAGGTCTCTCTAGTTTCAGTTTCTGATATCAGGAGGTGGAAGCCTCAGGGTGAAATTCCCTCCCCTCCTGCCACGGGCTGGGAGCCTGCAGGCCCCTCGTAAGACACCCCCAGCACTGACGGACGGGGCTGGGGGTACCCGGCTGCTTGAGGCTGGTGCTTGGCTCGCAGCGGTGAGCCCCCCTGCAGCCCGGCAGGCACCACCGGCCCCGTTCTCCACGTCTGGTGGCAGCTGTCCATATCGTGCACTTCACAAGCTTGCGTTAAGGCTCAGAAAAGCTGGAAAGGTTTAAAATCACTGAAAAGGTTTAAAATCGCTGGTTACTGTTCTCCCAGGCTGCCACCCAGCTAAAAAAGATACATAGGACACCCGTGTCCATCTACAGTACCCACAGGTAACAACTAAAAGGAAGACAGATGCAAAATAAGAGGTCAGCAAATGTACTCATTTCTAACGCTAGAGTTGCCAAGTTCCTGCCATAGTGAATTGCCATCTTCCTGCTTCTTGTATGATGTGAGGGATAGAGTCAGCCTTCTCTAGATCCAGTAAAAAGCTGAATTAAAATGTTCGTTTCAGAGAAATGTAGATGAGGGAATTAATCTCCTAACTCCGCTTCTGCTGTGCAGTCTTACACATACAAAACAAATGGTGCCATGTTTCAGGTGCTTTGAAGGGTGAGAATCTGGAGAACTTTAAAAAGATAAGTAACAACGTATTCCTTAAAACGTTGAGCTGGTGTCACTTCAACATGAAAGGGACAGCTTGATTCATCGCCTTCCATCACAGATAATCCCTAACGAGGGTTTCTCTCTGCTTCATTTCAGAACCACGACCGCACGTGCATCGCGTGCAGAATCATCTACCGGTCGGACGAGCACCATCCTCCCATCTTACCCCCCAAGGCAGATCTGACTATAGGGCTACACGGAGAGTGGGTGAGCCAGCGCTGCGAGGTGCGACCGGAGGTCCTTTTCCTCACCCGGCACTTCATCTTCCATGACAACAACAACACCTGGGAAGGTCACTACTACCACTACTCTGACCCCATCTGCAAGCACCCCACCTTCACCATCTATGCCAAGGGACGCTACAGCCGGGGGGTGCATTCATCCAAAGTGATGGGCGGCACAGAGTTTGTGTTCAAAGGTAAGAGTGGCTCGCTACGCTGGAGGCAGAGGTGGTCAGGTAGTTATGGACCAGAGCAGAGTTCGCTCATAATGACTTGGTTGCTGATGATTTCATCCTGTCATTTTCTGGAGCTAGTCATTTCTTGGGAAGTTCTCAGGCGCTGTGTGAATGCCCAGCCAAACTATACAGCTGCACGGTATTTCACACCACTGAAGCAATACCCATTTGAGGAAGAGATCTTTAAGTACAGCACAAGAAAATAAGATTTTGCGTCACTATGTCTGGGAGTCCAGTGGCCAGACTTCAAGCACCTAAGCAAAGAGCCCGAGATTAGATCTGTGGCCTAGGGCTCCTTCAGGAGAGAGAAAAAAGCATCCTCAGAAGGCATTTCAGGTCGTATGTGGCATAAATAATTTTGTGGTGAAGACAGATACAGCAGCAGCGTGTGCCGTTTCGTCAGCTTCCAAGGGGCCCTAGAGCAAGTAATGATGTCCCTAAAGATAGCTCTGATTAATCCCACCACAGAGATTACTAGATGAATCTAAGCGAAACTTCCCCTCGAGTGCTTTGGGAAGAAGCGCTCAGTGGTGACACCACCCAGGTCCCTGCGGCTGAGAAGCCTTCCTGTGCAAGCAGCCCCCGTAGCACCCCTGCTTAGAAAGAGCTCAGTGGCTTCAACCACTCACACAAGCAAACATCTCCAAAACACAACGTCCCGCTGTGGTGCCAGCCCCAGTGGAGCCTCTTGGAAGCCCCAAGCACTCTGTGGGCTTTTCTCCTCCTTATTTCAGTTACCATCTGAGAAACATCCAGCTTCTTGCATGGCTCCAATTTAGGAAAGCATCTAACAATAGGAAATAATTGACTAACCTGTGATTTTCATACGAGGCGGGAGATAACCTTTGCCTGTCAAGAGCTTTTGCTCTCTACAGCTGCATGCAGCGTGTCCCAGCTCAGCTCCTAGGGTGGAATCCAGTTTTTGCTTGAATTTCTGGTTTATGGTGTGCCAACTTACCTCACTATGAGGTTACTAATTTGGTTTTGGTAAAACTTTTAGGTTCACTTTCTATAGATGACCTTTTACACCAGCTGGAACAAATAATGTGAGCTGTAGAGCCACTGACTCAAATATCCGTTTATAAAACCTCAGAATAAAACTCCCAACGAATCTTACTATAAAAAGACATATACGCTGTTAATGGCCTGCAAGAGAATTGGGGATTTTGGTGTGTTGGGAGGCGTGAGGGCTGGTTATTTGCTTCTGTTTTGGTCAGCATTGATCCATTCAGACCCCCTTTTCTTGACATACAGTGTCAGACGCACACCAGGAATAATCTCTATTCAGCTTCCATAGGCTCATTCAATTTGGCTTTTCCCAACTTTAAACTTGGCTGGAAAATAAAACTTTATGTGCCTTAAGCTCCTTTGAAATACAGGCAACTTGGAACTGCAGAAGCTGCAGCACGTCTACATTTAATACTGCAGGCTGCAGCCACTGTTTAGATATGGGAAAAAGAATCTCTCTGTAGTTCAGCAATGCTTCATGATTCATGCAAAAAAGGACAGGTAATATAGGAAGATAATGCAGCTGCAGCACTTTCCAAAATTTACAATTGGAACTAATTACTTCATTAGCTTTACAGGGTAACGTGTTAAAAAATTGATGAAAAATACATTATAAACAGCCCTACTTATGGATTAATAAAACAGTAATAAAACAGGAGTAAAGTTTTATTGTTTCCTCTTTTAGCTGTCTCCTAATGTAACCAACAAGGCTTTATCTGTAAAGGATTGTCTGGAATTCATGAAAAGCTCTGCTTAATCTCTGAGATATGTGGCCATCAGGTTTTCTTCAACTGAATTTGTGTGTGTGCATGTTCTGTGAGAGAAGCAATTATGTCAAAGACATAAAATGATGCAAATAGATTCTCTGGGCACATCAGCAATATAAAAAATTGATTTCAGAATGAACAAGGAGAGATGATTCTGATTTCACAGGTACACCCCGATCCACACGTTGTCTTTGCTTTTGTTTTCGTCCCTCTGCTGATAGCCCCTCTCTTCCTCTCCTGCAGTGAATCACATGAAGGTCACTCCCATGGATATATCCACAGCCTCTCTGCTCAACGTCTTCAACGGGAATGAGTGCGGAGCGCAGGGGTCCTGGCAAGTTGGGGTTCAGCAAGACGTCACCCACACGAACGGCTGCATCGCACTCGGCATCCGCCTACCTCACACTGAGTACGAAATCTTCAAAATGGAGCAGGATGCCAGGGGCAGGTACTTGCTGTACAACGGCCAGAGACCGAGCGATGGGTCCAGCCCTGACCGACCGGAGAAGAGAGCCACTTCCTACCAGATGCCTTTAATTCAGTGTGCTTCATCAGTACCCAGATCTGAAGAGTCACCGGAGGAGAATAAAATAAGGCTGTATAGCAACAGGGCACCGGAAAAATATCCCAGCACCCCAGCTCTTGCTTTGGTGTTGTTTATTTGTACTGTGTCATATTGGGAGAGTCTCAGCTAGAAGTGAAAAAAACTTGTTTTTCATGACTACAAAGCCAGGATTCCACCAGACTGGGGGTTGTTTTTCTTCTGAAAGAAAGGGACATTTATTTTCTTGATGCACTTGAATGCCTGAGAACTGTTGTTCTTTTCCTTACTTCCCCCCTCCTCCTCGAGTCCCGAACGGCACTCGTTTGATGTTTGTGCTTTGAACTTCATCCAGTCTGATCCCTGGCCTGACATGACTGCACAAAAGTAATTGCACTTTAGGACTGCAGACTTTTGGGGGGAGGGAGGGGGTCTTCTTTTATTTTTTTTATTTTTTTTCTAACTGCTGGGGTGAAGATTGTGATCCTGCTTCAGTTGTCTCTGCCATCTTACCATTGTGGTACTCTTCTCCCCAGCACTGGGTTTCTCAACAGAATTTATCTCTGGGGAAGGGCTCAGTGTCATGCCAGTACTGTGATAGCAGCTTCCCCCTCTGACTTCACAGCTCTGATGTAGATATGTATATAAGGAGGAAATCCACAAAGATTTATCTTGTCATTATCTCGCAGCTCCTAACACAAAAAGAAACAGCAGATCAACAGCCCTCCATTCAGATAGCGCTAAACAGTTGACACCTCTAATTAAAAAAATATTCCAAGTAACTTAAGCTATTTTTACCATCATTAAGTTGTAAAAATAACCAGTGGTTTAATATTTTCTTGTTCAATTTCCTTAGCTGTATAATCACTTCTAGGCCTCCCTTTGTATCCAGCAAATAGTTACAACCAAGCCCCCTTAAAGCCAGGCAGAAGGAGCATTTTTCTGTCAGACGCACACAGTACAGGTAAGTTGCCAATACGAGGCTGCAGGGACTACTTCTTGTTTTGCATTCCTGAGGCCTTACACGCTCCGCGTGCCATATTCGTGCCTTAGATTTTGTGTCAGCCAGGTGGACGAAGTAAAGAAGCAAGCAGGGCCTTAACATGTTCTGCAGCGCTATTTAGCAGCGTATTTTTAGTGATGAGATCTTACGTAGGAACAAGTAAAGGGTTTCAGCAGCAAGCACACCATGGCCCCTAGGAGAGCAAGAAAGCAGGCAGAAACAGACCCACATCCACCCGAGAGAGACTGGACCGGTCGTACCAGAGGGAGGAGCGAGAGCTTCACAAATGCAGCTGCCCCCTCGCTTTTCTCCTTGCTGGACTGTCCCAACACATAACTTGACTGCTCCACACAGTCAAACCTACTTGAAGATTCACTTCTGGATCAGTTGCTGGTAGGGAGGCATCAGGAGCACGGTTTTAACTAGAGGGTCAAGAAGGAGACACGATGCCTCTGAAAGAGAAGCTAGGAAGTTTGATTTTTCTCTAGCTAGACTTGAGGTGTTTTATTCAGCAGATGGACACCAGCATATCTCCCAACTGAGTTAGTGAACTATAGTTAAGTCCTTTCAAATCCTCGCTTTGATTCTGACTTCTGTTGGAGATACAGTGGCATGCGCAGATTCACATTAGTCTTTATTTATGAGGATGGGTATGGCGTGATGGTCCTCAGACCACAGGAGACAAGTTGCTTCCACCACCATTGACCATTTCCATGTTCGGTGGTCTCACCTCTGGAAAGAATACCAATGGCTGGGAGTTGTCAGACCCTGTTCCCTTCCCTGTGCAAGTGCCACACACCACTTGATGCCAGCTGAAAGCCGCACATGCTTGCGATGCAGGACTGAAGCCGAGAGGAAAGGAACTGCTCTGCAGCACGATGTCCCACACTCACCAGGGCAATGATCTACAGTTTATCGGTGCTTCGCGGCTCCTCTGTAAATTGCTTAACGTCAGAAATACTACAGCAGTTTCAAGAGAAAGACCTGTCTAGTTCTTGCCTCTAAAAAGCACATTCATGTCTCAACTGTGTTTTTAATCACAGACTTGCAGAGATCTAGATTTTCCAAGGCTTACCGTTACACAAAATGCAAACATGACAATGTACAAATCGTACGAGAACTGCATTTTTTTTTATCCTGTCACTTAGAGATAGTTAAAAAGGAAGCAGTTGAAAAATGCCTTCATAACCCATCGCCAGAAGTCTGATTTGGGGCTCCTCTAGTTTATTTGTAGTGTTGACCAGAAACATAATTTTATGATCTGGGTTCTTAGCATATGCTGCACCAGCTTCCCTCCTTGTGCCTATATATTTTTTCTTTATTTTTCTATTAGCCAACAGAAGCCAAGTTGGACAAAGATATAAGTAAGTCTGCAGAGCGCACAACGTATTTGCCAATCCATGTTCTCTGCAAGGCTTCTCCTAGGCTATAGGCACAAAACTAGGAGCTAAGCTGCCTTGATCTTTTGGTTTCATCACGCGCTAAATTAACTGCTGCACAGCACTGTATACACTTGTGAAGCAATATATTCCATTCATTTTACTTCTCCAACCTGACCTCATGCGCTGGCAGCCCTGGCTGCTAAAGAAGTTACCGCAAGTGGTTTTAGCAGTGGAAGACCTACACACTGAGTGATTTGTCCCATACCAAAATGCAGATGCTTTAAAAAAATGAAACAACTAATGTTGGCATCTTTAATAGCTGCCAGTGTTGCCAGGACAGGTGAAAGCTTTTCCCTCAGTAATATTCTGCCCAAGGAGCTACCTGACAGAAGAAACGGTAACCTGAAGTAGTTCTTAGGCAAATTGTTTTAACAGGTTCTATTTAAGAAAAAGGACAAAAGGGATCAGAAAAATCAAAACAAGTGTTCTTACTCTGTTTCTATACCGTTTACATATTGTGCCTGCTGCCCTAGGGTAGAATGTCATTTTTATGAACAGAATTCCATATTTTAAGATAAAATGTCTGTCTTGCTTGAGTTGGAGTGTGCTTGCTTAAAGTGCAGGATTTTAAAAAAAAATCTTTTTATTTTTGTAAAGTTATAGAAGATATTTTTCTTCTCAGCTATGTTCCAGATTAAACTGCCAGGGAAGTTTAAGCACTTGTTAAACTATTGATTGAAATAAAAAAGCCTAACTGAAAAATTAAGGGTTTCTTTGCCTCCGATACATGTTAGTTTTCTATTCTGTTGACTTTCTACCTGTAAAAAATGATAAATGTCTCAGAAAGCAATAACCAAAAATCCCTCTGTTGAGTAACCTGTGCACAGAAAAGCCCATTTCTTACTATATAAAGAAGAAAACATTTTTGCTTGAGAACATGTCACTGGAAACAGTTCTGATGGATACAGCTGGGATGATTTGGGTTTCATAGTGCATTTTCAGGTTCTCCGAATAAAATGGGGGCTGGTCGTGCTCAGCGACTAACACCAGCATCGGCTTGCAAGGAGAGTCCAGTCAGAGCAACTGTGTCAGGACAAAGGGTGTGGTTCAACAGAAACAAAATATTTTTCATAACTGAGCTGTAAGCAAACAAAACAGCATTACCCCTCTGCTATTCCATCTCACTTGCTCTAAGGGCTACAACCTGGAGGGGGAGCAGGGAGGGATGAGGAAGGACACTTTTCTTAAAGAGGAAGAAAAATCTGAAATTAACTGAGAACGGAGAGAAAGCCAGAAGATAACAAAAGCATCTTTCCTCAGTGCTGTGCAAGTTTCACTCCTGCCTCACTTACACAAAGAAAGAGGAGGTAAAAGTCAGTCAGTGAGACTTCCACCACTACCACCAGCAAAAGCTTTGGAGTTGACCAATTTCTGAGTTTTCAGAAAGTGACTCAGGAGATCCCTGAAAGATGAGCTTGGTTTTCGGGAAGCATGCCCTAAATTACAAGGCACTCTGAATGCAGTAGCCACAGCCTGTGAAGAAGTGGCCTCCCTTCCGCACAAAGTGGTGGGTAAGGATAAATTCAGGCACAGATTCTACGTGGCATAATTTACTCGCTCCTGACACAACAGAGAAGGCTAGGTAATAAAAATCAGCACCACTCATTATGAATTTTAAAGTTTCATTAGTTTTCTATAATTTTGCCTCTGAGTATTTGCCAAGACATTTCTTTCCTTCTAACCTTCTCCTCTTTAGTGCAATCACTGTTGATTTTTTTTAATTAGTATTTGCTGCCAGTGATAAATAATAAGAAAATGAAGACACGAAATTTCCACTCCACTGCTGAATCAGGCAGAAACAAACATGGCTGTGAGGAATCAATCCACGAGTACCCTCAACTGCAAAGAAAACCCTGCTGTTGCCCCAAGCAATTATTTATTGGGTACCTTCTTCCCACCCCTTCTTCTTCACAACTCTGCTCCAGGGCGTAGGACCAGTCACAGAATCACAGAATCACAGAATGGCAAGGGTTGGAAGGGACCTCGGGAGATCATCTAGTCCAATCCCCCTGCTAAAGCAGGCTCTCCTAGAGCATTCTACAGAGGACTTCGTCCAGGCAGGCTTTGAATAGTCCATGGGATGGATTCCAGCTACCAAGCCCCAAGGACAGTAATTAATTCCTCCCTGTCTTCCAGGAAACGGGAACGGTGCGTGATCACCGCCTGAAAGCAGGCAGATCCGATTCCCAACATCCTTTTCCTATGGGAACCGCATCGGTCCTCATCCGCTGCCGCTTCCCAGGCGGTCTGTCAGGAAAATGAGAAAGCAAGCTGCACGGGATAGCACTGCCTTCAAATCAAGGAAGGAAAAAAGCCTGGGGGAAAAAAGAAGTATACACTTGGAGCCGCTAGGAGCTGGCTCTCCTAGGTTGCCCCTGCTGCGTTCCGCAATCCCACCCACGGAAAAGCCTGGGATCAGGCCTAACCTACCTTCACCCAGAGGGCTTGCTAGGCAGACACACTCCTTAGGAATACCTTTAAATCAATGCCCAGCTACTGGATCACTTTGCTCTTAGCACGGAACAGCCGCCCGAGGAGAGCCAAAGCGACGCGCAGGCATCAGCTCCACCAACCGCCCCTACATAAGGCCCTGCTGGGA